TGTCAGTCTGCCCCAGGGCAGCTGTGGCTACAACTGTAGCTTGCCTCCACCAGTGTATGAATGTGAGAGTGAATGAATAGTGGTATTGTAAAGCGCTTTGGGTGCCTTGAAAAGCGCTATATAAATCCAATCCATTATTATTATTATTATTACTATATCAATTTTTAAAAACGACTTATAAACCGGAATAAGCTCTAGCTTACTAAAAGGCAGGGAAAATTAAAGAACCTATCACGATGTGCTGACTGCTATTAGAGTCCAAGGAGAAAATTGCAGAGCCTGTAAAATGCTCAAGGACTTTCTGTTTTTAATAACTGATCTGTTGTAAATCACATTTAAATCAAAGCCCATTTAATGACATCTTAGACATATATTATCACAACAAATAAAAAAATAAACTACTGACTAATGGTTAACTAAAATCTTTTTATACTGTTGGTAAGGGACACTGCAATGCTATTGTCAATGCACTTTTAAAGCTCTACATCTGTAGTACACTGCTGCTATCTTTGGCTTTAAAGAATAGTTATTACACAACTTAAAACTAAGAGGATGCATGTATTTGAGTAAATTACCCATATTAGTTGGATTTGTACTCAACTGTTCACCTAGAATTATTTAAATAAAAATGAATGGTCTCTTTCAAACAACCTTCTGTTGAATGCTTCCATAGTGTTTTCATTGAACTGTGTACATAAAAGCGAGGAAGTCAAATTAGAGAGTGCTTGGGAGAGAATCAAACATCCCTCTGTCTCACCACTTCATATCTGGCAAATCCTCACACAAAGTGGGGAGGTCTTCCCATTATGATATGATATTTCAAACACTGCTTGATAACCGAAACGGCTCCTAGGCTGATGCATGCTAACAATTTTAATTTCACAGTATTAAGAATGCTGATGCAATCATTTACTTCTGTGAATTCGATTGGTCATGCACACGCTTATCCCGCACAATTCAACAATCTTAAAATGACTTCAATCAGAAATGTGATATCTTATTTACATATTTCAAAACATTTTATGCTCAACCAGTAAATCTCTCCTCATAACCATGCATGTACACCTGATCAATCTGAAACACAAACACACACTCGGGCCATAAGCTCTCTCTCTTGTTATGATTCTGTCTATGAGGGATCTACCCAATCCAAAGGTGGTCAGATCTCTTTCATTTCCCTTGACTTGTACAAGCAATCGATTCCACTCAAAGATGAAGGCCGCTGCTCATTGCCCCTGCCAGACTGCTTCTAACTTCACTTGCCATATTGCCCCATCACCTTCTGAATGCAGATGGGTTCTGGGGCTGTTAGAAGTGAAAAGGGAGACACGGAATGTTTTATCTGTAAAGGTTCAGGCAACACATCATTGTAAAGCCTCTAAAAAGATATGTCTCCAATTAAAGAACATGCTGTATGGTATCATCCGTAAGTGAGTCATTTAGTCTTTCTAAATCGCAGAGATGAATACTAATATATATATATATATATATACATATATATTCCAGTTGATGGAAAGTTTCTCATCTGGCTGTGATTTAATGTGCTATTTATATAGAGTCAAATCAAAGCAACAGCAACAGTTTCTTCAAGGCCTTTTATACATGTTAGCATTAGCCATCAGTCATTAGAACCAAAAAAAATAGCTTAAAAAAAGGGACCACATGATAACTAGACAAGTGCAACATTATCCATTTTCTTACAAATCCCAAGTCTAAAAAACCCCCCAGAACTTTTTGAAGTCAGGAAACAGTGCTAACTCCTGCAACACCATGCAGGAACATTATTATTACTAAAAATGGAAACTTACAATGGTGACTTACAATGAAATGCAGTGAGCGGCCGTCAACACCCACTGGTCGGTGATGAGGGACCCTCCACAGGAAAAACTGCCAAAAATGGATAAAGCTGCCTGCCAGGGCCAACTTCCTGGGGGTGCATCTTGACCTCCTATAATTCTGCTATGTTTTGCAGCCATGCCGCATGCTGATAAATAAAAATGGATGCAAGTTAAATGGTGAGTACGCTGATAAGCCACAATAAAAACCACTTACTGGTAAAGCAAAGAGCATTCCTTATTGTTTTAGGCGTAATGTTTGGCAATTTATCTGTCATGTTGTTTTTGATTGTGTCTGCCTGCAAGCACCTTTACTAAGAAAGATGCAATGATTCTTAAAACATGCTGATTGTACAACAAACTCCACTGACTGAAAGTCAACTTTCAAACCTCCCCAGACTGCAGCTTTTTATTCAGTTTGGTGCTGATATTTGTGAAGATTCTTGTTTTTTTGCAAACAGTGCTTAATAATACTATATTTTAAGTAGACTTCCTGCAGTATTCTTCAGATTTTCAGAGAGAGCCAGTTGTAATTTAAAATGCAATACAATATGCAACATTTTATTGGTGGTGTAAAAATGATCATGTCTAAATTCATGTAGTAGGGTTAGACAAATATATTTGCTATGTTTGGTAACTTCAATCAAAGCTGTGACTTGGTCAGTATATTACGGATATTCGGTCCTCTCCAAATTAAAATTTTCAAAGTCAAATCTCAACAACAGTTGCCTCAGGTTGCTTTGTATTGTAAGGATAAAGACCCTACAGTAACAGGAAGAAACCTCCGACAGAACCAGGCTAGGGGAAGGGAGGGAGACATGACAAGACATTCAATCCTAAAATATGTTGGCATCGTATCCTGTCCTTGCTGTAAAACCAATATGTTTAGTCATTGTTTATAGTTTCATAACTTTGGCATTTAATATTTAACTTAACAAAACGTCTATCCAAGGGTGTAGACTGTAGGATTAATGTCAAATGAAAAAGACTCCGAGCACTCCTTTGTTGCTGAAACAAATGAGAGGAGTATCGTCTATTGTCTGCAGCTGAGAGGAGGAAATAATCATGTTGAAACCTGAAGCTTGCAGAATGTGTAAAACTGTTCTTGGATGCTTACCGGGCTGCTGTGAATCAGCATCTGAAAATTGAAACAACGATAACTAGTTAAAACAGTGTATTGCACATCACGATTTGCTTTTGTCAGCACGGGTCAGAGAGAGAGGAAACAAATATGTAAAAACTGAAATTGGACCTGCTCACAGAATTTTAGGAAAAGTGAGTGATTTAAAACATAACTAAACTAAAACTGTCCTTTCAGGAAATTTAAAAGTATTTTTTCCAATAGCAAATTAAATATATTATATTATACTATATTATGTTATATTACATCTTATGATATTGCCCATGTAATTTAAAAATTCAATTTCTAGTATCGTTTGTCTGCTCACAATTCAATTTTATTTATTCATTCAACAGCAAATAAATCAAAGATTTTGTCATTTGTACCTGTGCCAGTATCGTCTCTTCCCTTATAAACACTGGTTTTTATTAGGTTACTGAATTCAGCTCTGTTGAACACGTGCTAAACACATAGTTGCCAGTTTATTGATGAATAAGTTGGAAATATCTCTATAAAATAACACAATGTTCCTGTCCTACAGCAATTTACAGGGAACATGCCAAGTGAGCCCTTTAATAGTAACCTGGCAGAAGAAAATGTGACTAATGTTTAATGTTTTGTATCTCTGTATTAATCTTTCTGCTCTTCTATAGCCCATAAGAAAATAGTGTAGTACTGCAAATAAAATCAATTTCTCACCTTTGCACAAGAGAACGACGATCACAGAGAAACAGCACACAAACTGTTGGAGAGACATTGTTAAGTACACCAGTTTTAATTTGACTTCAAGTATTAAATATGGAAATCCTGGTGAACTCCACCCACGAGCTCATGCCTCCACACTTGTCCTTGCCCTCACTGACCACTGGACCTACATAAGCAACAAAAGACAAGGAACCAGGTCAAACAAGTTGGGCTTGATGCTGTTGTGGAAGTTTCTATTTAATAAAGCCTGCAGACAAACGGTGAGTGGAAGCTAACCTCCTTTAATCAAAAAAGAACAAAAATCCAAGCTTGGTGAGAGGAGCCATTGCGGGAAGAATGACTAGCAGAGTCTCTCCTGAACCCAGCAAAGTCCTGAGTTTAAATGCCTTCTACAGAAACAAAAAGCAGTACAATGTTGTTTTCACACATTTAGTCTTCCCCCAAAGAAAAGTTCACACACTCTTGTTACCTCTCACAGTGTTGAAGAGACAAAAGACTCTTCCTGTGGGAGATCAGATAAAATCACCCAGCTGTTTAAAGGCATGAATAAGGTGTGAGACATTGAGACATGCTAAAACCCAGTGACACCAAAGCATTATACAATAAATAACAATGCGTTTACATGAGAACAAAGTTCATATTCAAAAGATGAATGGATGAGTGAACATGAATGAAATAATTACCCAGATTATTTTCCTGAGAAACACTTCCTTCAACCAGCAGGTGTGAATATGAGACCGTATCTATGTCATGACATGGAAAATCTATGGAGGTAAAACATTAACTAAACTATAAAACCAAGGTAATGTTTTAATTATGACATCATTCAATACTTTGATTATTTTTAGGTATGATTATTTCATTTTCATTTTCTCATTTGAAAAGCTGCATATTGTAGATACATGCTCAATAAAGTGAACTATTTTTTCTGTCAAAAGGAAGGACTTACTGTAACATACAACTGTTGTTATGACGTGTTTTTTCAGGACTTAAGAAATGGGCTTGATTTAGTCTAAATATTTGATGTTACATTATATAACCACTTTGATGCAAACTAATTTGTCTATTCTTGTGTGATGTCATGAATAGAATTTCTGAGAAAAATAATCTCGAATGCATTGCCATTCTGCAAAAGGAAAAACAAATAATATGATGTATGTTTGAAATGTTACACCCATTTAAAGAGTAGATGTATTGAGGCTTCATTCGTCCACAGCTGGCCCTGAACAGAATGTAATGTCTGTGAAGGTTCTCAGTCATCCAGGTTATCGTAGTCAAAGGAGCTTGCAAAGAAAAGCGTCTGGACTTCTTTAAGTTGCTTGAAGATGTTTCACCTCTCATCCGAGAAGCTTCTTCAGTTCTAAGGTCAAATGGTGGGGAGTCCCAGATTTAAACCTAGTGGGAGTATCCCACTCGCATCCTGGGCCATCTGACCTCAGGAATTCGCATGATAAGGTGGGGCCAGGTTTCACAATGAGCGCACCCGAAACCCTGGCTGATTGGGACCCACACCCAGTTTCACACCTTGGCTCAGGCGATTAGAGGATCATCGGGGGTCCTTTTGTCCCTCTGTGGGGGGATACTCCCACTAGGTTTAAATCTGGGATTCCCCATCATTTGTCTAAAGAAGCTTCTCAGATTAGAGGTGAAATGTCTTCAAGCAACTTAAAGAAGTTCAGACGCTTTTCTTTGCAGGTAGGAGCAGTGGTTGAGATTGATGTGGGGTAGGTGAAGAATAAGTCATAGTCAAAGCCCGGGGAGGTGTAGGTAACAAAGCCTGGTGGTGTTCCGGTCACGGTGGCACTGATCAAGTTTTGGTACTGGGACACACGAGCGTAGACTCCTGTTCTACTAGGTAGGGTGCAGCCATCACCAAAACTCAGAACTCCACTCTGGATCTAGATACCTATATTATTTTTTGTCACAAGTGGTACCCCCGAGTATTCCTGTAAAAAATGTGTAAGTTCTTAAAACAGACTTAGATCAGTTGAACATCTCATGGAACTTAATTTCTACTAAATGCATAAAATGGTTCTGGAGCTGTTCGTGTTAACCGTCAATCAGACACACATAACTTGTACTGATTAGTTATAGTATCATCCCACACTCTCACCTTCACATGATTAAATCGTTTTTAGTCACTGACAGAGAGTATCACAAAACTTTTTCAAGGTATGATGTATGAATAAATGAACTTGAACAAATAAAGGCCTCTTTTTTCAAATTCAAATGCAAATTTTCTTATTTGTCACGTACACAGTCGTACACAGTCATACACAGTACGATATGCAGTGAAATGCTT